GTAATTGATGTGAACATGAACTCTGTTACACATTTTTTAAACAAAATAATGCAACGTGCTTTTGCGGATTTGCAATTACCAGTCATTCAGGGTATGTCGGGTAAACTTAAAGGAAAATCGAGAATGATTACTTTTTTTTTAGTTGCGGCACAAAAATTGCAAAAAATTGACGTTTTCGATTTTTACGACATTTTCGGGCACAATGCAGACAATACCTTCAACAGCAGAACGCTAATTACTTTACTTAAAATTCACAAAAGATAAAACACTCGACAAAAAAACTTTCAGCTTTAGAATATAAATTTAAAGTGACTTAGAAATTCTCCGATGTATCCGTCATTATGTAAGATTTGCTCATGAAGCCAAGTTTGGCATTTTATTTCGTTTAAACGATATGCTCATATAAGCTAACTTTAACAAATTCTGTTAGCGAATTATGCACGCACTAAACGTAAACCATTTGACGGTGTAGAAAGATGAATTACTTATTCATCCAGCCTTCAAACTTCCTTCATCGCGCAGTTGGGAAAATCGCTGTTTCAACCTTCTCTCGAATACTATTTTTCTTACAAATACAAGGAAGTATCTTGAAAAAGTTAAGGTCTGTCCCGTTGTGTGGGCAGGTTTCGCTACCTCATATAAAAATATAATTGAAAACAAAAAAGTGGAAGCCGCTTACAACTCCCTGTAACGCCGAATCAGAGCGCAGCTCTTGAGGAGGAGGAGGGAAGGGCACTGGGGGGGGGGGGTTAAACTAACCAGGAGGGGTCACGTGACCTTGGGGGGTCACGTGACCCCCAATGCCAATGATGTCATCACTGACGTCACTGATGACGTCATCAGTAACGATGACGATGCGGGTACCGATGACGTAATTAGTGACGTCACTGATGACTTCACCAGTGATGATCACAATGACGATGCGGATGTCGGTGACGTCATCAGTGACGTCGCTGATGACGTCATCAGTGATGATGACGATGACGATGCGGATGCCGGTGACGACATCAGTGACGTCACTGATGACGTCATCAATGATGATGACGATGACGATGCGGATGTCGGTAACGTCATCAGTGATGATGACGATGACGATGCAGATGCCGGTGACGTCATCAGTGATGATGACGATGACGATGTGGATGCCGGTGACGTCATCCGTGATGATGACGATGACGATGTGGATGCCGGTGACGTCATCAGTGATGATGACGATGACGATGTGGATGCCGGTGACGTCATCAGTGACGATGACGTCATCGGGGGGTGACGCGACATCGGCGGGGGTCACGTGACCTCGGGGGGTCACGTGACCTCGAGGAGGGGGTCACGTGACCTCTGGGGAGTCACGTGACTTCGAGGGGTCACGTGACCTCGGGGGGTCACGTGCCCCCCACGAGGTCACGTGACCCCGGTGGGGGGCTCGCGCGGTGCATTATGGGACATTTCCCATGATGCACCGCGCGGTTACGACGACGGCGACGGCGACGGCGACGCCGACGCCGCTCAAGCCGGAAACGGGCCCCTAAGAGCTGCGCTCTAAAAAAGGCATGACACCACCATGACCGTCCATACCTGAACACACCCTGCTTCAGACAATCGCAGTTTCTACTAAGCTTTCAGATGCATCCAGTAGTAAAAATCTTTAAAATATTGTGGGCAAGAACTTTCCTGGCATATTTAGTGGGCAGCGGTCACGTGGCCACCTCCAAGGTGCATTCTCCCTCGCGTTCAAATCGCAACCACGATCGGATTCGGTCGTTTTTATCATCAAACGAGCGTGAAGTTGTATTGGAAGTTGAAGCAACCGGCAGTGTGAAGATGGCATTAGGCTGATGAAACAGCACTACCATCTACTAAGTTGGCTGGATATGTGTCGTTTGCCAAATTTAGCTGATCAACGGGCGTGTCACGCATCTTCTGCTACAGTATGCGGTAGTGCTTTCTCAACTGGTGTCCTTAAAGTCCTATACCGTCGGACGTGGTCCAAAAGTGATTACAAACAACGTAACCGGAGCCGGCGTATATTGTTGCCGGATTTCGAAATCTTGGGAGGTTGGTCGCAGGCGGTTCAACAAAAAGGGCGAGAATAGATATGAAAGAACGCGAGCGTCGCATTTCTCGAGGCTTTCAAACTCCTGGGGCAGTTTTGTTGTTCAATGCGGGAATTTCTCCAGGCGAAAAAATACATGCAATACTGTTTTTCTAGTCACGGTATTGGCTTTGTAGAGACAAAGTACGAGCCTACGAAACACAAAACCTCCAAGCCAGTTTTTTTTTTAATTGTCTACAATAGCGTAGCTAATGCAGTGCTACAACTCAGCACTACTGTGAGAGTGCGTGGCTTCGCCTAGTGTCTCATTCGAACGCGTTCTTGTCCAAAGGGAGACGCCAAACGAAGCGACGCTCTTGAGGAGGTAGCTTTGGCAGCGCTTTAATTCTACCATAGCCTCCTTTATACTCACAAAGCTTGGCAGTTCAACGATGGAGCCATGGAGTGCTCGGTTGCAGATTTGAAGCGTGAGGATCTGGTAGCACAGAGCATCAAAGAGCCATTTCACGGGGAACCTGGACGTCAGCGTACAGCTTTCGCAGCGGCAAGGACTTGAAACATACTTGATCGCTCGAGAGAAGTATGTTTCGGTGTTTCTCCATTTCAGGGCGCCAGTCACGTGGCTCTCCTCTTATCTCGTGTCTGCCGCTCTACCTTTTCGATTTCGGCGGCCGCGTCTCGTGGTGATCTGCCAGGCTTTGTCAGTATATAGAAGTGTGTGACTCTACGGATGCCGCGGCAGCCTTGACCATGTGGCACAAAATAGTTGACGCTGAGACAGGCAAATTTGTGCTGTAAGTTTGTCATCGCTTTGATTATTCAAGTCTGGTTGTGCCCCCAGAAAGAGGGTGACCAGGCTTGAAATGTCAGTGAAATGAACTGTGCTTGTTCCCTTTAATTGAGTCATTTAAAGATATTTGTGGAGAAGTTAGTGCTCAGCCAGTTTTAAAGAAAACGACATGCGAGACTTACGTCTTCTGATTCTGAATGGTCGGCTGGAAGACTAGGTACTTTCTGCCTCCTGAGCCCGTCAAGTTGCATAAAAATCCCTCAAACCCACCGGGAGTATCAGCAGCCGTATTCACTAGCAAACAGCACCTGACACCTGGATCTTCCACGGTTTATTAATCTCAAGGTGCCAGGAGTAGAATAACTGTCTGTTGTAACCACCTGCGCTGCTCCGCTTCCAAGATACATGACACTTACATTTTACAGCATCGGGCGGAAATAAATGTTAAAAGTACTTTTTCTTGGAGCCCATGAGCTGGAGCACGTTCGTAAGACGCGACTTTTTACGAGCTTCCTTTGACCAGTCCGGTGAATATCTATAATGGGTGTGCTACAACTCATGCGATCAGATTAAGGCTGGCAATAATGGCTCTTCAAGCTAGCTCAGGCATGACTTCAAGAAAACGCGACATGTGCTTCACGCTCAAGACAGGTTTGAAGCAGCCACTTTGTCACCTACCACAAAAATGAAAAAAAGAGTTTCGCGAGATGATTAGATTTTTATTACTAACAAAAAAACAGCGGAATGTTGCGCCGATTAAAGCAAAGTTGGACAATGGTTACAGGGGTTTGGCACCAGCTTTGAAGACCTTTTTTTTAGGGGGGGGGGGGGGGGGGGGAATCGGTGATTTTCAGTGTTGCAGAACAGCCACTGAAGATTAAGCGCAATCTGGACGCCCAGATGAGGCCGCCACGAAGGAAATCGTTAAGAAAAATCGCAGCATCATTTCAAAAAACCGTGGAGTGAAAGTGCGTGAGTTCGCTGAAACTTTAGGCATCTCAACGGAACGTGTTCAGAAAATCCTGAACGGAATCTTAAACATAAAAAGGGTGTGTGCACGACGAATCTCAAACCTGCTCACTGTCGACGGAAAACGCGCCCGAAAGGACTCTTTAATGCAGTGTCGGGCGATGTGGAATCGCAATCTGAAAGACTTTTGGCACCGATTCGTGACTTTGAATGAAAGTTGAATCCCCCACTTGACACCTCACTGTAAGCTGCAGTAAAAGCAGTAGACAACAACTGGGGAGAGTGCACCGAAGAAGGTAAAGAAAGACCTTCTTGTCAGCTGGAAAAGGGATGGCCACTGTTTTTCGAGGTACCCCATAAAATATATTGGTCTACTCCCGGGATGAAGTTAAAACAATAGAAGGAGCCTATTATATAAGCTTATTAGATTGTCTAAAAAATATCTAAAGATAGAACGTCCCAGAATGGCGGAAAAATGTGCTCTTTCGCCGGAGCACAAATCGCCAGCCCACCAATCGACAATCGCAATGACAAAACTGCAGGTGCACATTTTGCAGGTCTTGAGAAAGCATATTTTTCTGACCGAATACAAAAATGTCGACATTTCTGGACCAAGTGTGAATCTCTCAGTGGGCACTATGTTGAAGAATAAATAAAATTAAAAATACAAGCTGGTATTTATCTTGCTATTTTACTGCGCTTATCAAATGACCCTCGTAATGCATGGAAAGAGTCTGTCGGCAATGTGGTTTTCGATATTGAACGAGCCACTCTCGCTTACAAGTGTGTGTCAGCGTCCTGTCTGCCCGCGCTAACAGTGAATCTGAAGAAGCGAAAAAAAAAGAAATATTACATAAACAAAAAATGCGCCTTTCGCCTTCAGCATCCACACAAAAATTACTTATATTTCCTTTTTTATTTGTTTTGCTTCACAAATTGATAATCGCTAATGGAGTTTTGCCAGAGTCGCGTCCACAATGAACGCGAAAAAATAATAACGCACAACCGATATCCGACAAAAAAATATTCGATTTTGCTTTACTGGGGCGCTGCCCAAACGCGAGAGCTGTAGGCCTATATTTGAGAAGGCTGTAATGGCAAGAGTCGAAGACACGTTCCAGGCACTATAATAACGCTAGAAAATGTAGTCCTTCTACAACACTTATATTTTTTCTCCTTACGCCACAGGTGGCCTTCATCGGAGCCACATCTAGCGCCCCGGACACTGCAGTCGCTGTGGACGACATTCTCATCGATGAAAAGGGCTGCCCTTCGGCGGCCTCTTGCGATTTTGAGGACGACTTCTGTAACTGGTGGAACGTTGGAAACAAAACAAGCGCCATGCAGTGGTATCGTAACAGCGGCCCCACCATGACTGACGGCGGCCCTTCGGTCGACCACACCCTCAACACACCCAGAGGCAAGTCTTCTTCAGCTCTAATATATTTTAAAAAGGGTTCGCACATCTTTTTTTTGGCCTCCGAGCCTCCGAAACGCCCTCCTCAGAATTATTGTATAGTTCTAACCAAGGAATGACTAGGCCTATAACGCGGGTTGAATGAAAAACAAAATTTTCAAGGATTACCACAATCCCTTAAGATATTATATCAACATTCTTATGGATTGCTCGTTCTTTAGCTTAACACTATTTACCGTCAATATTTCCTGTACCCTGGGCGTATAAGCAACAGAACTTAGAAGACCAGGCATCTGCCTCACACATCCCCCCAGCACCATCATCAGTAGATTCACGTAGTGCTGCCTAGCTTACGTCCGCATGGCCGCCAGCGCGTCCTTCAGTGTCTCAAAGCAAACGCGACGCTAGATAGCGGTGACTCCATGACACAGAAGACTGCCACTTTGCGACGTAATCGTCAGGCTTCAGCGCGTTTACCGACTGTTGTAACTCGGGGGTCTACTAATGATAATATAATGGGCAGTCCTTGCCTTCAAGGAGATATATCGATAGAAGGCGATGATTTTACATTCGCCTGTTCAAAAAGAAAGTCCGCCTAACAGCACACGGAAGTACAGCTTGACTTGGCACGATTTTGGTAATCCAAAGAGCCTAACCTTGCCATAATGGGGTTTCACTTAAGCGCGTTATATTTGCGCATGAGAACCATGGCCCACGAGTGTCCTTTTTTTGCCACGCCAACCAATACCCAAAGTACCAAAACTAAGCCTGAGGTGCCACATATCAACCGGAAAAATCAGCAGTGAATCCTAAATCTGAAAAAAAAAAAATGTGCCAACTTAGGCCCAAAGTTCCCACGTCAGGACCGAACAACCAGAGATGATACGTAAATATGCTGCCTGTTTGACAATTTAGTCCCGAAAGTGCAAGATGACCTGCAAATATCAGCATTAAAGCCTAACTTTGAACTTTTTTGTTTAATTAGTGCTATGATACCCAGAATTCGGCCCAAAAAGTCGTTTCCCAAGTAGCACAAAGTGGGCCCTGAAAAGCGCGCCGACGTGGGTCCCTTTTGGGTATACCTCGTGGTCTCGGTATTCCAAGTCGGGCCAAAGTGGGACCTACTTGGGCAGACTGCTTTTGGCCACTGTGTCCACCTGGGACCCACGCAGCCCCCCCCCCCCCCCTTCATGGGCTACCTGTGCTGGGTCTACCTATAAATCTTTAGGGTTTTTTAAGGCTCTAAATTCCTAGGCACACTATAAGCTTTGATCAAAAGAACTGTACTATCTGGGAATAGCTGGCGTTTTCTTCTAATGGTACAAACTACGATCACGCTCACTCCACAGGCCGACGTACAACCTCGGTTTTCTGCAGGGAAGACGATCAATCCTCTTAGCGCTCCTCTCTGCTAACCTTCGAGGGGAGCCATGTTCAGGCGAGGAAAAAGGTGGAGATGCTATAGAGAAGGAGAAGGCGGGCAAAACTAGAATGCGCGAAGTATAAGTAGGCCTTGAGGGCTGCTTCACACTTGCAACCGACTACAACCGAGCCCGGCAGAACAAGATTTTAAGCCTCGTGTGACGTTTTACGACCGTGCCGCACAGGAGCAATGGCAATTGTATCGGCTTAAAGTCCCGTTCAGTTGGACTCTGTTGTAGCCGGTTGCAAGAGTGTAATCTAGCCTTAAAGATGGAGTGCGCTTTATCTTGTTCAACCTGGCTTGTTTGTATTGTTTTTTTAGTGCTTTTTGTACTTCAAGGTGAACTACCACCTAACCACTGTCCAAACTAAACCGTTTTACAGCGTATATTTTTGCTGGTGCTGCCAAATTCCCTATTAAAAATTTGACAATATAAGCTCAAAATTAATATTAAAATTCGGGAAATCAGGGTAATTCAGGGGATGGTAGGTAAATACAACCCCAAAATTTTTTTTTTAATATTAGAACCAAAAAATACGACGGTTCATACAGAGCATATTCTCCAAACGGCACGCTCGTAGCAGCACCAGAAGTAACTTAAAAATGGTGTCATCAATATACTATCCGCATTTTAAAGTGGGCGTGGCTTTAGAAAGCTTTCTTTACATTGCAATTTTCATTGAAAAAAAAAACGGTGCAACTGGAAAGAAAAGTTGTTTCTAATTGATGCTACTGACAAGACATCGTGAAAAATTAGTTTTCACGATGCAGCACCGGAGCTTCTACGAAGGTGCCTTCATGGGCGAATCCAGAAGTCTAACGAGTCCCTGAATAACCTGATCTGGTGCAGGTGCCCAAAGACAACATTTGCGGGCGCGTGCACAGTAAAATCTACCGAGTATGACGCAGTTAGCTTCTACAACAATGGCAACCAAGCAAGGAAGCAAGTGTTTGAGGCTCTAGGCGTCACTCCTGGAGTGTTTTGTAATGTGCCCTCAACAGGATGGACAAGGCCCGAATAGTCAAAAGTGACTTTCGGATCTCTGCTCAAAGCAAGCGAAGAAGGAAGGCCAAAGCAAGTGCAAGGAAAGGTTTCGCGAAGGAATCTGAGGCAAATGATGCTGAAGACTACGCACCAGGTGCATTTTAGGCTGAGCCTTGAACAACCAAACTTTCAGAAGTGATTTGTGAAAAACACTGTTTTTGCTTGTATAAGGAACATTTTCTCTCGAACAAGAGAACCTTTTCTTGTAATATTTCTCTCGTGTTTTGCTGCATAACCTGCGCATCTACTGAACTAAAAATATAATATTTGCATAAAAACTTTTTTTTTTATTTACAAGCTCCTCAAGGCAGAAAGCACCTAAGTTGAAGTACCAAAGTTCAAAAATTGATTTTCAACGAACTAAGCATTTCAAATATATTATTTTAGTTCAGTCAATTGCCAATACTGTATAGAAAGTGTGAGATAAGTTTCATTGTTTTATTAGCATTAGTTGTATTTTAAATGTTCCTTGACTAAGTCAAGAAAACTTCTATTTCAAACTTTTATGAATTCAATATATCTCAATAGTTTTAATAATATTTTGCTTGGTATAGCTAGAAGGACAGCCAAATATGCCCAGAAAGTTTAAACCGTTTTTACCCAGAAGGAGCTGGGATAATGGCAGAACATCTCGAAGTCACATGGCGGGGTACTATCCCCCCTTAGTACATATTGTCCATCTGCGACTCTGCACAAAGATCAAGTCGCAAGTAGGCTTCCCTTGAAATTAGCTGTCATATCAAGTGTTGGTAACATCGGTATACCTGCAAGGGCTAATGGGGAAACAATAAGTTTAGAGGCTTGAAGAAACCTTTCATGATTATTTGCAGGAACCTACCTGCTGCTGGACGCCCAAGACTTGTCCACGGTTCAAGAAGGTGTCGTAGAAAGCGAAATCATTGCCAAGGCATCTGACGCCGCCTGTTTTCGTCTATTCTACCAAATTGCTAATGGAAGTAAGTAAAGCCACTAGTTCCTCATTAAAACCAGCTTCCCAATGATTGAATGATGGGGCCATATGATTTAAGTATACACAGAATGTAAATGGATAAGTTTTGTAATTGACACGTTTTCCAATTGTGATAAGGGACAGGAAGCAAATGTTATTCTTAGAAATGTTTATATGTATGTATTTTCCGTACAATGTACCTTCAAATAACGATCCTTAAAATAATCTAGACGTTTTATCTATATCTATATTTTTTTCATTTATTTTCGCCTGACTCTACAACTATTCGCAACTCCAACGCTCTATAGATGGCGGAGCGGTATCTACAAGATGGCAGAAAAGACGGGTATCCAGGATTTGCAATGTGCCTGCTTGCTGACACTGGTCAGTGTTCCAAAATTAAATATTTCGCCTACAAATACGAAGCGGAGGGGCAGGAGCAGATCGCAGGTGACAGAGGTCTTGACGTGAATTAAAAAAAATGAGCATAGGATACTTTTTAAATTTCCGAAGTTGAACACAATCATTAATATCAAAAGACGTCCGCTTCTTTCCCCTTATGACGGCATAATACAGGGACACGACAACCAGAATAATGCGGTAGCAACAGCACCAAAGCCAACAGCCCCCGCAACAATTTCTTCCACCATCACAGCTCCTCTGGTTATTCGTTCGACTGCAAAAGGGCGAGCCGCGGGCGGGCGGGAGTTGCGAATATTGTCGCGCGCGCAGCTGGCCAAGTAGGCAGCGCGCGCGTGGCCTAACGATTATCGCGCTTGCCTCCCACGCGAAAAGCTAGGGTTCGAATCCTGGGAGTGACGTGTCTTTTGTTTATTCCTGCAATTTAGTGTTCTGGAGAATTCGAGAATCATGTTGCCTGTTCCAGGCCCGAATGTTCTACGCGTCGAAGTTTCTACGCCGATCATTCCAGAAGACCACTCATGTACATAAGGGGCTCGGCGTGGCGAGCCACGGTCAGTCTCGCCCCAGCGTTCGACTCTGCTGCCACGCCGACTTCGACGCCCGCGACGCTCTATTATTATCCTTTTGTACTCTTTTATTTTTGGCACAAGTTCGCCACATTAAACGTTTATTTCTTCCTGTTTCTTCGTTATTGTTGGTCACCACCCGTGACATTTTGGTGGAGGTGCTGGGTACCGCATGTCCGTGCAGCGCAGCCCTGCGAGTTCCCGCAGTGCAAGTCCGGACCCAGCCTCCCGAGGACCGAGCGAAGACCAGATCGAGACCCGATCCAGTCGCTGCACCCAAGGTCTACCCCCGGAACACGCACTTCTGCCACCCCGGACCAGGCAGCCAACGAGGCCGACGATGGCCAACCAGTCGCAAGCCCCCGCCGCTTCTACCGTCATCTACATGCCCGTCGCACAGCGGACGGCTGCCCCCTTCCACGGTGAACTCTACGAAGACGTAGAAGACTGGCTCCTGCAGTACGACCGAGTGGCCCGCCACAACGGATGGACTGATGAGCAGTGCCTCCAGAACATCTACTTCTCACTGGAAGGAACGACAAGGCAGTGGTATGAAAATCACGAAGTCGCCTTGACCACGTGGGAAGTTTGTAAGAACGAATTGAAGAAAAAATTTGTCAGTCAACACCGACGTGAGCGCGCCGAAGACCTGCTTCGAGGGAGAAACCAGGGACCCAAGGAAAGCGTGACATCTTTCACTGAAGACGTCCTCCGCCTGTTCGCCCGCGCCGACCCGCAGGCCACAGATGAAAAGAAGTTGCGGGTACTCATGCGAGGTGTCCGGGATTACATTTTCAGCGGCCTTGTCCGTAACCCTCCGTCGACGGTGGAAAGCTTCATCTCGGAGGCAACCAACCTTGAAAGGGCGCTCCTCGCAAGGGCGAGCCATTACCAGCGGTATAATGGCGTCACCGTGATTTCACCATCTACCTGCAGCATCAGTTCCGGCAACTCTGACCCCACTGCGATCCGTGAGATGGTCAGAGACATTGTCCGCGAAGAGCTTAGGAAGTTGGTGCCGGCAGCAGAACAACCATCTGCGCGCGGCAATATGTCAACATTATTTCAGCGGCCCAAAACTAACCAAAACAGATTTCACATACATATAAAAATAAGATTGAACTTAACAGCAATGCATTGAAAATAATATTGCTCTGCACGTTTGGTTATTATTCATTGGAAAGTGATAATTTTTGCTTCTTTTCTTTTTTTTCAGGTGATGCCTCTCTCGCAGTGGAAGTTCGCGACGCGTCTGGGCCTATTGTGAGCAGATGGACGGTCACTGCTAGAGGGAACAATTCATGGACGCCGTTTTCGCAGGATTTGAACAACTTGCCTTCTGAATACACTGTGAGTTATTCCTACCCGTAAAATTCAGCAGAAATGCTTGACAGTTTTGAGGTTTATATTTAAACTTACATCGCCAAAAAGAAAAACGAGGTCTTGAAACAAGATCGTCTACCCTAAATCCACCTATGTAGCACGGTTGCTTCGGCTCACATATTGTGTTTTCTAACAATTTAGGTCCCTGGAAGCCCAACAAACCAGCGGATCACCAAACTCGATATTGCTCAGCCGGAGTGTAGACAGACTTGCCCTAAATTTCTAAACAGGCGGCGGAGTTAGGGTTCACAGCAGGGTTGTTCGGTTTCACCAGTCAACTTTCCTCCTGAATATTCAAGCCAGTCCTAGAATTCGGTTTTAGTGTGGGTTGTTCGGTTAGTGTATGGTATTTTTGGCGCTTGTCAGGCATTTCGGCAATAAAAATCTAGTGGTTTACTCGTTCGCACTGAATTGACTAATGTCTGTCATGTTGTTTTCGTAATGGAAGTGACAGCAAAGTGTATGTCAAGTCTTGCTTTCTTCTACTGTTGAAGGCATAAAAAGGAAACACAACAAAACTTGAGTATTTCCTTATCTACTTATTTTTTTATGAAATCTGCAGCGCTCAAGAGGTACTATTGCAGGGTAGTGATTAAGCTAAGAGTAAATAAATCTGCACATTTTGATATGGAAAAACCATGCACACAAATATTCAACCGTCATTAAACTCGACTATAAAAAATAAACAGAAAAGAAACCCATTGACACTTTTCTTTATCAAAGACGGGAAACTGGGTTTGCAAAACCATTGCCTCCTCTTCCGTCGTATTCAAAATCGAAGAGTTTCTGGCATAAAACGAAAATCGTTTCTAAAATTTTCTTCCCTCTACTTGAACGAAGAAGCCGCTTGAACAATTTTTGTACGATGCGCATCATTCTTTCAGATCCGAATCAGTGGGACACCTGGAAAGCAGCAAAGAAGCGATGTTGCCATTGATGACATTAGTCTTTTCAGTGGGAAGTGCCCTGAGAGGCCGACCGCCACTACATCAGGTTGGTGGAAATGTCCCTCGAACTGCCTTACTGTTAGATTAATTCGGACATCGGGTTTAAAGTTGGCTCCAATGAGTTAACCCTAAGTAATGTGTTTTTTTCCAGTAGACGTGTAATTCCAGAAGATATAAACCACTCAGCAGTGCGTACCTATTAAAGAGCCTAATGAGAAAAATATATGCACCCACACGGCTCGCACACTATATTGCTATGCGAAATACCCAGAACGAAGGAGAATGTGAAAATTAAACAATTTCCTCAGCAAATCTTATCGTTTTAAGTGTTTCAAGACACTATCATTTATCATATACACATACCGCTAAGCGCACCAAGCACACAAAAAGGTGTCGACGCTGTGTGACGTATAAATTTAACAAAATATTACTTTTAAGAATATAACTAAAGCCAAGTAAAAAAAAGCGATATCTATAGCATAAAATTGGTACAAAAACATGACCAAATATCAACTTGATTTGTGCGCTTTTCATAATAGAAAGTTATTACAATATGTTATATTATTCTTTCTTACAGTAATATGGGTATGGGTCGTGCTTTTTTTTCAATGGTGAAGCGCGCCATAGTGTGCGCATTATTGTTTTGTTTAAAAGGTCTTTAGAATTCTGTACTGGTTTATTGCCTCAATGCCGAAGCCCAGCTAAGTTCCTCGGTCCTTTTCAAGGAAGATACGGGTTCCTCTGGGTCAAAACCTTTAAAGACATTGGGATACAAATTCCCTAATATCAAGAAACGTGTATTTTTAATGTGTTCACATTAAAACAATTCAGTATAACCTAACCTTTTAATACTCGGCTTTCCTAGATGTGAACAAAGCCTAAGCTTACATTAAATATTGCTGGACAGAAAGGAAAAAAATGCGGGCGAGGTGGTGAAGGATATTTATAGTGACCGAAAAACAAAGCAATCATAAAAAAAGGAACGGACAGAGCAACAAGGTATTCATCGTTCCGCCCGCAGATTTTGTATTTTTTTATGATTTCTGTCTCTCGGGTTTATTGTGAATATAGCTGTAGAGACGGCCAGCAATAGGGAATCAAAGTTTTAAATAAACATTTTCTGTGATATGCACTTCATTGTGACGTATACTACATAATAACTCATCTCGTGTACGTTGTATCCTTTATGAACCTTCCCATAAATTGTGAGGCGTACCGGCACTCTTTCCAGGCGCAGCTTAAGACGTGATTAAGCTACTTATTGAAGCAGCGAAATACATCGAATGTTTGCAAGCTTCTCATATTTTCTAACTTCACAATTTTTGTTTTTGTATTAAATTTGCGTATTAAGAAGCACGTTCGACACCTTGCGGCTGTAATAACAAGCGATTTTAGGGTATTTTTTCAGCATACAATATAACGACACTATTCACATAAGCCGTAGTAATGATGTAATCGTAGTTTTCTGATTGACTGAGATTCGATCAGACTCTCGTGGCATTTTTCAATCTAACTATGATCCGAGAAATGCTGGCGTGTTCTAAATTCATTATTGGTGTAATGCATATATGCGATTTGAGGGCACACGCCTTTATTATAATCTAATCATTGTTTTATTTGTTTTGACTACGTGGGAGTCAGTGTGTTTTACTTTCTGTCACATTACGTCCAGATGTAGCCGATAATACGACCTGATGAAACCAATCACACAGCGTCAAAAGGGTGTAATCACGTTGTTCTTCGTGTTTCTCTTTGTATTCTATCATCGCTGAACCAATCATTAAACAAAAAAAGCCCAGTGACTTTCGCATATTTACTCTGCTAGATGGCTTTCAATACTTCGTAGTGTCGCCTGCGTCTTGATTTAAGCTGATACGAAGTATATCTAATTTTATCGTGTTGGTAAAATCACACCTACAATATTTATTAACGTGTGTGAATTTATCTAATACACTTTACGTGTCTTTTCAGCATCCTCGCAGTCGACAGGGCTAACAACTGTATCAACGGAAACAACTCAGTCATCGACAGAATCAGGCAAGAATAATTTATAAAAGAACGTGTTCGGATAATATTTATTTAAGAAATAAAATATATGAGTTTATCAAATCATCAGATTTTAAGACGGATCCTAAACGAGGTATCACGCCAATGACACGCCTAATTTTGCTGATACTTGGCAATAGTAGAGGCCAAACTTGGGTATTGAGCAAAAGCTTTAGTTCTCGACACAGTAAAGTTTCTTTATCGTTTCTATGGTTTTTTTCGGGTTCACCACATAATTGCCAAAGTGCCAGACTTCAGCCAGAAATGGCAGATGACAGCCAAGCAACTAAAAGTAAAGCCTAAATCTGGCATTTGTTTGGCAATTTAGGCCCAATATTGCAACGCGAAACTGAAACAACCAGAAGTTAATGCTAGCTCTGAAACTTGCTTGGAAATGTTGGCCCAAACATGCCAGATTTAGGTTACACTATCAGTATTGAAACATAACTTCGGCGATTGTTTGCTATTTGGGGACAAGGTACGCATGACTCTAACCAAGAAAGCTTAAGTTTGGATCTAGCTTAGTTTTTTCGGTCTTTTTAAGGCTATAAATTTCCTTGCAAAAACTATGTGTTGGCTCAATGAACTGTGCTCCCTGGGAGCGAACTTCATTTCTTTGAATGCTCCAAACCCAAGGTAGCACCTTGGTCGCGTTAGTGTACCTTGAAATTTAATATATTATAGCACTATCAAATTCTGCAATTGGGAAACATTTTTATTATGCCATCAAAAATAGAGCATTAAGCCTACTTCAGAATCCGCGAGAGTTAGAAGCTCGCGAATAAGAAAATCAATGCTTGCTACCTTTTATGGATTGATAAAGCGATGGTGAGCCCAATATTGACTAATGCCATTGAGACTTCGAAATATTTTTTTAAACAATTTTTTTAAGCAGTTAGCCGCGAGGACATTCTTCCGTGTCGCTTGCTGAGTACCGAAATCATGCACAGCTTACCGCTTTTAATGCAATATTTTGACTAACAAAATTGCTAACAAATGTATAGCGCGAATCGCTGACAGACACATCAGAAAAACAACATCATTGTTTCCGCATGTGCAACGACCAATTGTCGGCAAATGTGGAGCGAAGGCTTGCGCTGCAGAAGCCAGGACTCATAGATTTAATTCCCTAGTGCAGTTGCTTCACAATTATGGAGTTATGAACATCCATGACCCCAGAATAGCGGTCGTTGAACACTGTCTCTATCGCACCGCAACAGCGATTCATAGGGTGAATTTAAATATCGAACTTATTTCTAAGTTTTGTTTTACAACGATGTAGAACAATTTCATTTTTTTGCCGCGCATTGTTTTCGGTACAGCAATTGTTTCTATTTAGTTATTCAAATTATCTACCAATGGGTGACCTATCGCCACTTATTAAAAAACGCTGTGTTGGAGAGAGCGGACACTTATATGGCACTCAAAAAGCATGGCGCCCATATTCCTTTTAATCTAGGCTGATTGAAATAGAATAAAATATGTCATCTTAATATACATCATGGTTTGGTATCTGACAGTTAGACAACATCGTAGCTGTTTGACCGATAGTTCTAAAAAGGTGGTTTGTGGTTTGCCATTCTGTCGCAGGCAAAACTCGAGCTTTGATGTGAGCAAAAAGTCAAAAACCGACATGTGAATTCAAAATTTCGCAGATACGTATGGCACAAAGTGTAGGTATAGGCGTAAGCGAGTATATTCGTCACCTCCCCTTGTTTTTCATACATACCCATTCAAAACTATACGAGCTGGGACATATCTAATATTTCTCGCGCATTTTATCAAAAAATTAGCTTTCGCTCAAATTAAAACTGTTCTTTATTCCAACAGACATGACGCTGATCCGACTGAAATCTGCGTTACGGTTTTTTTCTTTGGTTTTGGTGCTTTCTTTTTGAATTCCGGGGAAACACCACAGAAAATAAGAGAAAACAATAACCGCCTCAACAAATATATTTTTTTTATTGATTCGGCATTTTTAGTGTCGATCTGAGGTGTAAGGTGAAAACGTATGAGTATAGTGCGACTTTTGAAAGAAAATGCTTACTGTTTACTGATAATTTATCACTGTCATATAAAATATTCCCGGGGAACATTCCGGTGTTCGTTGTTGTTATTGTTTTTCAAAATCCACAAAGCGTTGATGACCAAGAAAGTGGGGGTTGTGTATGCCTGTTCAAAACACAATATAGCTGTAGGTAAATGCTTTGTTTCCATGAGCATTCATTATTTTTTTTTTCTATTCAGGTCAGCTCCCATTCGATGCTTGTCGATTTTCTTTCCCAATTAAAACGACAAAAAGAAAGGCTGGTACATATATAAAGTTCATTTCACATTCACCGAAAAGACGTAACTCTTGCTTAACATATTCTCTTTAATAACCTTGTCCCCACATCACATGATGCCCAGGAACTACCCCTCCTTCGGAAGAGAAAAGTTCGCAGCCGAGCACCTCCACTTCGGCACCTCAGACCACGACGCAGAAAGAAGTCGTTACCTGCGCGCCGGGGCAGTTTAACTGCCGCGATAACAAGAACTGCATCCCGCTGGCACTACTCTGCGACGGAGTGAAAGACTGTTCAAATGGGATCGACGAGAAGTGCGGTGAGAGGCCATCCTAATATTCTTGAATCCCGCTCCGCCACACTCCGCCTAAATTAAGTTACCTTTGGCTTGATACACAGGATGTACTTTTAGACTTTATAGATTTGTTTAAAGGAAGCTTTCGAGGCGAAAAATGTCCAGTCTGTAACATTTATATTGGCCGGGAGACATATTGTAAGTGAATACATATATTTCCCCTGCTCTTCATAAATACCCCACGCGAAATTTTCATTGTAGATTATTACAAGAATACAGCTGTAGGGTCTATGTTTTTAAGTTCGCATTTTTTCCCAAGGACTATTCATGACTGGAATGCCCTACCCAATCATATATTAAATGCTTCATCTGAGTCATCACTCATTGCTAACCTCCGCAGTTTCTGTAATTCCTGGGATTGACTGTATTTCTCGTAATGTTTTTCGTTTTTTTTTATTTTTATTTAATACGGTATAATGATGGACATTGAATGCCTTATTCCCGTGTGCTAAAATGACTAGAAATGTATGCCTTTATACAACATTAGGTACACACTCCTACCACATCTCCCGAAGGAGATAGTAGTATCAATATATAAATAAAATAAATAAAAATAAATAAATAACTAAATAATCGCCACGTCAAGTCGGATAATTATGTAAATTTCTTTATTTTTATGACATGTGAAAATAAACAAGGTTTCTATTAAATTATTAGTGAGGATCATCCAAAAGTCACTAAATGAGTAGAATTTATAAATTTTTAGACTGCATCGAAAACGCGATGTCGCACCAAATCTACCACTCTTACAAAAGGCCCAAGTTTAGAGATGTGAAAACGAAGATGATATCCTTCAGTGGGTTTATAGTGTGAGTTTTCATATCGCCAGCTTTGTGCGTGTTGCACGAGTGAGAAATTCAACGCACCACCATGCTAAATTTGCCACTCGTAAATGCATAGATGCACGTTTTTGCATACAAACGTACCAGAAGATTTTTTTTGTTAGAACTATTCTTGAGCAGAACTGGCAGCCACAAACGGAAGTGCGCTACCCTAACAAAGACACGTTTCTTCAGCTTTTAACACTCATACTATAACGCACTGTGGGATAATCTTTAGACAAAGAATAAATAACAAATTGAGAGCGTATAGATGTTGGTAGCAACGTTCACAGAAGGTCTCAAAGTAACAAATAACGATATTCTTATTTTGCATTTTTAGGAGGTCGAAACCAATGCACGCCAGAATTTTCTTTCTGCCCAAGCGGTGTTCCGCAACTCTGCTTTCCTCGGCAGTACCGCTGCGATGACCATCAGGACTGCAGCGACGGTTCAGACGAGTCCCTATGTGGATGTAAGTGTGCTGTCTGTGAATAGAAATGACTCTCACTTTTCTCACATCTCAGGATTAAGGGGTTCTGAAAACCTTTGACCTCTCGGCAATATTTGACAAGGTGGGACCTTCTGAAAAGTTTTGCTCAATGATATACCCAAGATTTTACATTTGGAAAAAAACACGTATTATACAATTAAATACTTTAAAATTTACAAAATATATAAAAATCATTAACATTTAATCATTAATTTACTCAGGCAGCACCCAAAAGTAACGCCTGATTAAACCCAAATGTTACAAGTATAAATGAATCGTATGACAAAACAATTGCACCACGGTGCTGCTCCTAGCGAAAGCATTTCTCCTAGACTGATGCAGGGCTGTCGTATAAGTCGTGCGTAGCAGCCAAACGTTCCAATCAATATCAGCTTACTTAGGCAGAACGCTACAGAAAACAGTTGGGCCCAACCCGGCGCTAACGTTTTTTTCACGGGACCAGCAAACCGAGAACACCGATACCCTGTGTCCGCTATCGAAACATCATCTCAATCCCAGTACATCTACTCGATCCGCCAGTGATCGATGATCAATCCAATAAGATGAATAACGAAAAATACTCTTCATGCTGACTTTATCACGGAGTGGCGCAGGTTAATGTCATCCCGTAGTGGTTTCCTGATCATCGAACACAAAGACCCTTCGTAGAGGCATCGCAGATAAGCGAAAGCATGGCCGTGTGTTGCCGTTGGTGCTGCTTACAGCTGCCGGACACACGATTGAACTTCAGCTACGAGCAATACCTATAGGTCGAAAGACGGAAAACACACTGAGTGCAACGCTGAATGTGGGTAGGCTCCGAATGTCAACGAGCGAAATGTTTACAAGAAGATCGATATAAAAAAAACGCGGGCGCTGGAAGGCGTAGGCACGGGCAATACCCTGCGAGTGCATTAGAATAGGTCGGAGCAGATAGCATTTTACCATTCGCAATAAACCTGGAGGTTGTCACTAGTGCTCTACCAACCAGCTGCCAAGGCAGAGCGGCATGGCCCCCATATGTGTCACAGGCTCTCGATAGGGCTTAACTTTTGCCTAGTAGCGTTTTGCTCCAAGCGTTAGTTAGTGTCAAAGCACTTTTTTATATTTATAGGGCTCCAGATAATAGCCAAAGTGCCAGTTACTAGACAAGGATAACAGATACCTACCAAACAACCAGCGGTGTAGCTTAATTTTCTAACTTGCTTGCCAGCTCAGGCCCAAAGTTGTGACATAATAATAATAATAATAATCTTTATTTCCATTTAAAGAAATGTTGGAGCGAAAGGAAAAAAAGCACCAACACGAAGCTTGACTGGCCCTCAGCCCCATCGGCAGCCAGTGAACAAATAGTTTTCGTGCAATGAGAAAAAAGAAAAAAAAGAATATCATACAGAAAATTATACATTACCAAATGGGATAACAGAAAGAAGACACAGAACACTTAAATATGTTAAAGTGTAGTACGCAACTCCTTAGGAGATATCGTTTCTATAATTCTATTTTCTTCTTCAAATTTGTTTGGAAGCTTTGGAATTAAATGCCGAAGCATTTGCTGCCCATAATTTGACCTGCATGTGGGAACCTTCCAATATTCATTATGGCGGGTCAGGTAAACGGTGTTATTTTTTTCTAACCTATCTCATTTAAAACAGCCTTTTTTTCATTTCATTGGTAATGTTGAATAGAAGTCTATAATCAAATAGCTTATGAATGTTTAATATTTGCAGATTACTAAACCTATTATCAGTGTGAGAGTCATAAGGCGCGTTGAAGATGGCTCTTAACATATTTTTTTTTAAGCAGATAAATTTTGTTCATGTTGTATGCCGTTGTTGTGCACCAGACAAGGTTACAATAACTGAGGAGTGAGTAAAACAGAGCATGATAAATAATTTATTTCATGCGAACTGATAGAAATTGGCTGCGGCGATACGTTAAACCAACAACACGTGACAATTTGGAAACCAAATAATTTACATGGCTATCCCATGACATACTTTCAGAAAAAAAAGACACCTTCTGTTCTAAAATTTTCCACGATCTGTGTCGGACTTGAGATAAATACTATTGGCCTCGGCATAAAAATAAGTTTATTTTTCGGACAAAAAAAAATAGCCTTTGTCTTTGCAGTGTTAATACTTAGTCCATTTTCCTTTGCCCACGCCGCCAACCTTGACAAAGTAAAATTATCAGCATTCGCGATTTCATCGCTCTTCAAAGAGGAAATAAATATACTGATGTCGTCTGCATAAATTACAAATTTAACAACAGGGTTTATATTCACAGTATCGTTTATATACAGGTTAAAAAGAAAGGGCTCTAAAGTACTTCCCTGTAAAACCCCTGAAATAATACGCGTTCTATCGGAGGAATGACCACTAATGTTAATATATTGGAAGCGGGGACTCAAGTATGAATTAAGGAGTGCTAACGGCAACCCTCGAAAACCATAGTAATTAAGTTTGCAAAGCAGAATGTTATGACTCACAAAGTCAAAGGCTTTAGTAAAATCTACGAACACGCCAACAACCGTTCTTTTTTCTTCAAAATTTTGTAATATATATTCTTTTTAGGACAAGGGCTGATTCCGTGAACGATTTTTTCTGAAACCAAACTCCGAAGATGAGAGTAAATCTAGCTTATTCGCAAATTGCACGACACGGGACTCTATAGCTTTTTCGAGGTCTTTAGAAAATAAGGGAAGAATTGGTATCGGTCGATAGTTGCTGAAATCATTTTTTCTCATTTCTTGTGAAGGCCAGATACTTTCGCCACCTGCATCGCCGTAGGAAATACTCCAGACGAAAAACAAAGATTAAACATATGGGTTACGTACGGCACCATTATATCAATAACGAACTTTAGTGGGCATATTTGAAGATCATCGCAATCGCAGCTAGAGATGTTTTTTAATTGCATCAATGTAAAAAAAAAATACCTGAGCATCTGTGAGAGGTTCAAGAAATATAGAATGACTATTTCTGACTTCTATGTATCTGCAAGGATCGATATTAACGTTTGTTGTAGATAAATTTGCTAAATATTTGCTCAAAGCATTAGCTAAGGACAGAACCCTTAGATGGATACGGTTAGTATTATCAACTGGCTGATGGCCTCAACGAAGATTTAACACTGAATTTAAATATTTCCAAACCAAGTCAGTGCGACCATTTGTATCCCTAATCACCTTATGATAAGACTCAGCTTTAGCTGTGCGTAATAATTTTGTTAGTTGGTTGCGATAAATTTTAAAGGACCGTAGACTTTGCGGGTCTCTAGATTTAACAAATGATTGGTATATCGCGTTCTTTTTTTAATTTTTTCAAGTAAATCAGGTGTTATTCACGGTTTTCTGATTTTTTTACTTGCCTTAAACATTTTGTACGGAAAATGACGACTATAAATGCTTTCAAATAGTTTTAGGTAATGTCCACAGACTTCATTTACATCTTCTGAACCAAACATATAACACCAATTAGAATCTGCAATCTCTTGTCTGAATGCATTCATCTTTCCGGTGGTTATATGTTGAAACGTGTACGATACATTATTTCTATTTTGTTTAGGGTTCTTCGTTTTCAAACACATGAATATTGGAAGGTGATCACTTAAATGGTAGCTTATAACTCCGGATTTTATATTTTCACTATCGCCTTTGCTAATAAATAGATCAATTAATGTTTCAGAGCTTACACTAATTCTAGATTGAATATTTATTGTGTTCATACACCCATTGGTTCCTGTGATCATATTCGATTCCCTCTTCAATGCAGTATCTTTAAGCCCTGTCAATATTAAAATCCCCACCTGAAATTACGGTATAACCATTATCATTAACAAACGAAGGTATGTGTTGAAAAATTCCAAAAAGTTATCACTATTGCCATCTGGAGGCCGATAAAACACACTTATTAATACACATTTTGCGCGCACTGTTAATACTTCGAAGTCCCGTGTAAAACACGAATAATCTGACAGTAGTTCACAGTTAATTGTGTCTTTAATTAGTAGACATACTCCGCCCCCGCGGAAAGTAGTACGATTTAAGGAAAAGCTAAAGCATCCAGGAAGTTTCAAAACATGACTATCATTACGATACTACGTTTCTGATAACGTTACTACGTCTAACAAAAAAGGAACCTGATTAAAAAACACTTCGAAATTTATATTTTTATATCTAGCAGATTGGGCATTCACATGAAAATATTTTGTGAAAGCATGGCGTTTAGTACCAAGATATGCTTCAAGGTCACATGGAAGTAAACAATCATGGCCAAACAATCATGGCCAAGCATCCTCACATCTGACAAAACCTGCACGGTCGCCCGCCCCCACGCCTGACAAGAATCTCTTCATATTGATGCCATACGAACTGATAGAACCTTTGCTTTGCCCATTCTTTTGTGATCCAGAGAAGTGCCTTCTTTTGTTTGGTTAAGTTTTCTAGAATATCAATATTTCGCTGACCGCGTGCAAGTTTTTTTTTATTCCGAAGCCTCTCGTCGCGTTTTTCTTGTTGTGCAAAACGTATGATAATTCCGGGAACTTTGTCGGGCTTCGATGGCAGTCTGTGAAGAGCTATTACGTCACTTGCCTCGACCGCGGGTAACTCGAGTTTCTGTGCTACCTCGTTTACTTTAGTTATCAGGTTTTAATTTTCAGCAGGTGGAACATTGTGAATTTCCAGATTTAAACGCCTGCTGCGCCATTGAAGGTCATGCAGGCCCGACTTCAGTGCCTGCATTTCCATTGTGCGATCAGTATTCTCAAGGCATTCCACGGTTTTTTTTTTTAGATCATTAATTTCCTGACCATGGTTTTGCACTTGCAGTAGCTCTTGATAGTCTTACGACATAACTTGAATGGATTCGTCGATGTTGTCAACCGTTTCCCTAAGACCTAGAAGGCTCTCTAGCTTAGCGTTTACGCTGACAAGCATGCTTGGTATATCAAGAGTAGTTTCCTTGCTGGCATTTCTCTTTTTTGCATTTACACATGTCGGGCACCGCCAAGTTTTACGAAGACAGTCACCCTTCGATCTACTAGTTGGTCGTTAAACACCCGAGCAATCTCCAAGGTGGTAAGAAAATTTGCACTCAACACATGTCACGAAAACCCCGTCACCCGGCAACGCCTGATCACACGATAAACAGGTGTCGTGCTGGGCGCCAGCCATGTTACTGTATCAGTTTCATAATCGGCATAGAAAGGCTATTCAATAACGCTAAGGGTTGCAGTCGGCGGCAAAAGCATGCAAAATCTAAGACAGAGCAGGAATAACGCTCACCTGTAGGTAGAAAAACGCAGTTTTACACACTGTATGGAACGTTTGCCGCCGACTGCGCGTTGAAAAGCGAACCAGAAGTGAAGCGTAACTCTGGCACTTGTTTCGCGGTTTTGGACCAAAGATCCAAGACGACAACCAAAATACAAAGAAAAGAAACCTAACTGACATATACTTGGTTATTTAGGGTCAACATACACAGACTATTGTCAATGAAGCTTAATTTGGCTCTACCTGAGCTTCATCGGGTGTTTGAAACCCTACATTTGGATGACTCGTTTTATGTTATTATATTTTGTCAGAATTAGTTGACTGAAGATAATCCAACATTAATTCATTGTATTTTTTAATGTTTTCATTGGTTTTCTGTGCTGAAGGAAGCACAGACTGCGGTTGATTTTCGGGCACGATATCACCAGATTGGAAAAAAGAAATCCATTCAAAACCTTGGCTGGATCAATGTTGTTTTTTAAAGCCTTTTGAAGCACCCCGAAATTTTTCGCTGCTGCCCTTTTCAAAAACAACACAGAACCTGATGCACGGACGTTCTTTCAGGTCCGCCATCAAACAAATTGACGAATGGGATTCGTGTCGCCGAGGAAGACTATTAATTTGTGTAAAGAACGTTCACCGAACGCCACCTCGACTTGCCTACTGTTGTGGGCTCTATGTAGTACATGTGCCTAGAGAAAACGCCGGTACTAACGCCGCTCCCGCCATTGTGAAATAATTATCTTTTTTTTTATGTGGCCACCCTCACATATGAACAACCTTTCTTATCTGCTATGACTCAGTTAATTTTTCAGTTGAGAGTACCAGCTCTGTCTAAATGCTGCCATCTTTAAACTCGAGGGTTAAAAAAATGAGCATATTCCAAGTCAGAACTCTATGACTGTAACAAATAGTTAAGAGCAAAAAAATTATATAGCTGCGGTTCTACGTATAAAAATGCAAGCAACTTATATATCTAGCTATATGCTTCCAAACTTATCTAGTTAAAGTTTCAGCTACTGTACAAAAGTTTTTAAGTCCAAGGTGAATATGAAAAAAAGGTGTGTGCATCAAGTTTTATTTTATTTTGGACAAAGTAGCAGCAGAAACTGTAATAGGGCTTCGAGAGGCTTTAAAAAAATAACAGCTCTGATCTAGACAAGGGTTTCGAATGGATTTCTTTGTTCAAATAAGGCGACATCTTGATTGAACGTCAGCCGCCTATGGGCGTATATGTACAATTACATATGCACACATTTATTTAGTTAAAGTTACATTCGGTCATAGAAGTGGGTGACACTGCAGCTATTTAGAAAATATTACACTAAAGGATGGGCATGGGCGCATGAATTTACTAAACTAGCTCTTCTTCATTAATAAGGGTGTAAAAGACAGCAGGTCTAGGTTTGGCGAATTTTTATGCAATTCTCGATATATTTCGACGGCATTGTACATCACTGCCTACGTAGCATTCATTGTAGGACCATGGAGTCGCATAGGCTCAGATATTGCGTATTAGTAAAAGTGTTACGCATGTACACAAGGCCAAAATATCTCAAAATACGCGGTAACACTTATTAAAATAAGTGTTGCGCGAAATAAAAATAACAGTGCAACTTGAAGCAAAGGAATCAAACATCTAATACATTGTTTTTCTTGTAAGTTCGTGAAAACACACGAAAGTAAGTTAATTTAGGCTTCCAATCTACTATTTCTTCGGGGTATTGATATGTGGTGATTAAATGAAGACCGATGGTGGATGCCAATGCAGGTATAAAGTTAAAAGAAAGGACCATCCGGACGCACTTGTTCGTTCAGGAGAATTGTGTTTCGGCGTCTCGCCGCACCGGGGCGCCAGTCACGTGGCTCTCCTCCCTTCCGTTGTCTGCCGCTCCACCTTTCCGATTTCGGCGGACGCTTCTCGTGGCGATCTGTCAGGTTTTGTCAGCATATAAAAGGCTACGACCGTACGACTGACACCGGCTTTCGGTGTTCGAACGCGTTTGAACAGTGAGTATAGTCAATAGCAGCTAGGTTCGCTGTTACGTACTAATCGTTCCGAGCAGAGGTATGTGCTTTGGCGTCCCCGCGCTAGCTCAACACCACCACTCACTTAGTTCATGTTCTTGTATTTTCTAGTCGAACTTTATTTTTACAGGCATCTGGTGAAGCTTTCAGCTGTCTTTAAAACTTTACGTCTGTGTATTTTTTTGTTTTGTTTTTTTCTGTCCCGTTTTTTTTTTCTCTTTTTTTAGGGTTCCTCTGTCAAGATAGGGGCGCTCTCATTCAAGAAGATATTCATTTTGGAGCTATTTGGTTTTCTTTGAGATCGTAAATCCGGCTTGGTGATGGGTCTTTTTGTATAATAGGTATATGCAGAAATGTACAGTAAATTATATATCAGCAAGGTTGCGCAACTTTTTTAAAGTTTGATGATGTTTTTTAGGCTTATTCTTGTCCCACAGATATTCAGTTTTTGTGCATAGAATTTCGGTGTCGCACGAAAAACCGGTGTTTATCGCGGCTGATGTTAAAACAAACACAACATCAGTTTTTGTTTGTTTTATTCTCGCAACCTTTTAGAAATTTGTACGTGACACGAGCACCGGTGTTTGCATCACGTGCATGTTCCCAACACTTGAAAAGTGCTCAAAATAAATAAAGAAAAATACGAGTTAAGATATGCGGTTGCGAAGCAAGAAGTCTCGCAGACAGTTCGTTTGGGAGCGTGTTCCAGGCCAACACAAAACAAAAACCGCAGTCAAAAATTTTGTTTCCGTGGAACTTGGGCTTTTCTAAATTAAAAACTTCCCCTATTCGTTGTTTGTTTGTTGTATTCCGTGATTTTGGAAAAAAAAAAAAGAATAGAAACGAATCGGAGAATTATTATCTGGGTTCATCGACCTTTTCGAAAAAAAAAAAAAAAAACTATTTATGAGTTCGTTTCTGAGCGTTTGCTAACAAAGATGTTTTTTGTTGTGAGTGAATTTTCACTTCATTTACGAAAGCAGAGCTTTGAAACTTGTCATCATTTATATTCCCGTTAGATTGTCCGTCGTACTACTGCCGCAACGGAGGCCGCTGTGACGTCGCGTCAGACAAGGGAAGTCCCAGCTGCACCTGTCCCGAGGGCACTGCGGGAGAGCGCTGCCAGTTCCACGCACCAGCTGCACAGCGACTGAAAGCGGCCGGTGAGTTGAAGTCGCTTTGACGCTTGTCGAAAATAGCTTACCGCGAAAATCCCGCAAGGCCTTTCGTTGATATCACACGAAGCGCGGAATCGTGGGGTTGTTCCTGTACGCTTTGGCCGGCTCGTATTCTCCGATGCCCCGAAACCGGCGCCATAGATATTTGGTTTTTTAATAATCGGCTCCATCTGGGAGGGGAGAGGAGGGAGGGGGGGGGGGGGGTTTGGTTGTCAGAGAACTACAAAATAAAGCACTGGTGCACTGCGGGAAAGCAACACCTTTGGAGCGATCTTTGCGGGTGTTGCTCCTTCGCTTTGTACAGGTGCTCGGAAAGACGCGCTCAACGAGGCAACCCGCCTCCATACACCCTTTCAATGCGAAAGCAATTAACTGTCCCATGGAGCAAATCCGGCAGTATCTGCCACCGTGTGCAGCAGCAAAACGGCAGTTAAATTGCCATTCGCCAAAAGCACAGCAACGGAGATGCTTCGTCAAAGAATTCGGCGGGGTGCTTAAGGTCCAAATGAACGCGCCTCAGAAAAATAAAACACCAAGGAAAGCACAGTAAGGCATATGCATCGCCACGGAAGGCGTGGTTGTGGCGGGGTTCACCGGGCTTGCGGAGTGAGGGAGCGTGATGTCACCACCGAAGCGCCGTATGCGATAGAAAAAGGTGGCGCGTTGTTTGTAAGAACGCGTCGCCTGTAGGAATGCTTTAGCATTCCTACACGTAAACAGTTTGAAATGTATTTTTAATTTATTTTTAAACGCCAGAAGAGGCGTTGTTATCAGTTTACGTCCCTGTGAACTTCTGGTCAGATGCCTGGGCAATCGAGCCCAGTCTAGCACCGATTCCTGCAACGTTCACATAATATTTTATGACCAGTTGTGGTAATCGGCTAAATGACCGATTAGCGAGAGATTTGTTGCATATTTTGTAATTCTTCTGAATGACGACCGATCTCCTGCTATTTTCTTGAAAGCACAGCAGAAGGTCCTTGCCAGATCCAACCCTTTGCGATTTCTCTAAAACTTCATCGACTCAAAAATGTTGACATCAAAAAGCTCGGACAGCCTCTGAAACGAAGCAACCGGAAGTATATTTGGGGCCAAGTGACCATCAGTGTTTCTAAACCGCAAAATGGTATATCAAAACATATAAAAGTACGATGATTTGAGCTCATTTCAAAGAGAATAATAAATGCATTTTATTCGAAACTATTATTACAAATTTGAATATTCACCTAGCCCTGGTTAAACCTACCACAACAGATATATTATTGAAGGTGTACTCGGGTTACAATTAACTGCTGCTGTCCGCTTCACAATTAAATTTTCTTTTTTTTTCTTTTTTTTTTTGGGGGGGGGGGGGGGGGGGATCGTGGCAAAACACGCTAAAGCAAGGAATGCATAGTGCATGTTAGCCTTATTAGCCTTCTTTATATCCATCGCTCGCAGAAGTCATTTTCTGAGGGACACATGGACAGCCTTTAATATACCATGAAACTAATTTTCCGCGCTTTAGAGGTTAATTATCTATTGAAATCGTAGGTGTTTTCTCTGGGCTTATTTTTTTGCACAGATCTGGTAATTTTCGGTATCAATGTTTGGTGTCGCACAAACGGTCTGAATGATGTTTTGTATTATCATAATGAAAGTTAGACATGGGCGTGGGCTACCCCAACATCGAGGACAGATACGCGTGCCCAAAGACTTAAAAAACGTCCCCGTACCAAGTCAAGAAGGAAATCAGAGCATAGGCGCATTTTCAAAAGAAGAAAGAAGCCTCGAAATCATTTATACGGAGCTGCGTTATGGGTGATTTGAAAATAAAACTCCAGACAAAGACATTGTAAAACAGCGCACAGAACGCGGAGGAAGACAAAAAAAAAAAAAAAGGTAGACCGAAAAAGGGCTGACCCCCAACTAATTTATTTTTTAGAGAGGAAAAAAAAAGGAGCTTCAGAAATTATTCTTAGTGTAGTCCTAGTTCAGTTTCAACAGCTGAAAAAGGTAGGGCGAGGGTAAGACTGGCAGGCGACGACGAAGCAGACAGAACGTTAAAGAGAGGAGGTGGTTTCCTTCTCTCTTCTCCAGCGTTCCGTGTGCTTCCTCCTACCCTGCCCGTCTTGCCCTCGCCCTACCTTCTTGAGTTGCAACGCACTATAGAAGCAAATAAAAAACACGAAAAGCAAGATTATATAAACTAGGTATGATTAATTTGAGCGAGAAAGAGAATGGAAGAAGGAGCCCTAGAAAGAAAGAAGAAACAAAAGAAAAAAAAAACAAAAACGTGAAGAGAAAAAAACAGAAAAAAATCACTTTGTTCGCTCCAGGCCGGCCAAGATCACTCGCGGTCTGCGTTTGCTAAGGTCACTTTCTTTCCACTATTTTCCTTCTTTGCTTCTTAGAGCTGCTTATACCATTCCCTTTATCGCTCAAATAAACCATACACATACTTCGTTTCAGCTTTTCCTTTTCTCCTTTTCTATCACGTGGAAGTAACGTCTGAAGCTTCTTTTTTATCTTCCTCCTCTTTAAAAATAAATCATTTTCTTTTTCCTTTTCTCTTTTGCTTTCACATGTGAAACATTCGTGAGGCTTCTTTTTTCTCCTTTTCTAAAAATGAAAGACGTTTGCAATTCTCCTTAATGCCGAATCAGAGTGCAGCTCTTGAGTCGGACGAAGGGAGGGCACGGAGGGGAGAATCGCGTGTGGCGTCACGAGGCTGTGATTTTCCTGCTAAATTTGGCAAGAAATTTCAGGCCTAAATTTAGCAAAAAGATTTAGCAGAAAAATTTTACCCTCGTGACGTCACACGTAACGTTACATCTGACGTCAGATGTGACAAAACGAGGGTCAAACTTTCCCGATAAATTGAGCGGAAAATATTTCCCCGGGTCAAGTGGCGTCACGCGATATCAGATGACATCCCACGTGGCGTCACGTGTGACGTCATGAGGGTAAAATTTCATCTCTAAGTTTAGCGAAAAATCTCTTGCCAAGCTTAGCGGGAAAGATTTGCCCTCGCGACGTCATTATGGGAAACGTCCCATTATGCAAAGCAGTTGCGCCGACTGCGACGGCGATGCCGACGGCATCGTCGCTCAAACTGGAAGCAGGCGCCGAAAAGCTGCCCTCTGATATAGATCGCTTATTAGACATGCTCTTTCGTTCAACGTGTCCTTTCCTCCGTGTTCTATGCGCACTTTTACCATGTCAAATTACCAACTAGCTCAAATTTCTACTTTACTGTAGCTAAAGATAATTTTTCTCGCGAACCTTGGCATTTTTTATTCAAGGTCAGCTGGAGTTTAGGGTTTTTCGGGTCTATCCACTTTTGATAAAACCGGCTCGGCGGTTAATTTTTTTAAAGTTTTTTTTTTTCTATTCATCAATAACACGGAAACCTAGATATAGCCTACCCCGTGTGGGTACAACCAGGCCTATGTGCACTATAGACACCCGAATATGGAATTTTGAGGACTATTCGTAAGACCTCTGCTCTTGCGCCATGCTATGACAGCGGCCACTTTTCGAAACTCATTTTTTTTTTACGTCGAAACGGAGTTCGAAGAAGAGGCGATTCCAATTTAGGGCTCTGAGCATTTCGGCGAATCTATTGTCTATATTTCGTTTCATCATATTGCTGCGCGCGCAGCTGGCCAAGTAGGCAGCGCGCGCGTGGCCTAACGGTTATCGCGCTTGCTTTCCAAGCTGAAAGCCAGGGTTCGATTTCTGGCCGCGGAGACACATTTTTTGTTGGCTCTGTAAAGTAATGTTCTGGTAAATTCGAGAACCGTGTTGCTTGTTCGAGGTCGGAATGTTCTACCTGACCCCGAGAAAACCCGCGCCGTAGCTGCATTTGCGCCGCCGTCTGACAGAAAGGCAGTAAGAAGATTTCTCGGACTCTGTGCCTATTACAGGCGCTTTGTTCGAGACTTCGCCAGAGTAATGCCGCGCGCGCAGCTGGCCAAGTAGGCAACGCGCGCGTGGCCTAACGGTTATCGCGCTTGCTTTCCAAGCTGAAAGCCAGGGTTCGATTCCTGGCCGCGGAGGCACATTTTTTGTTGACTCTGTAAAGTAATGTTCTGGTAAATTCGAGAACCGTGTTGCTTGTTCGAGGTCGGAATGTTCTATACCCCGCACCTCCACCAAAGGTCATTCGACGAGCTCAAACGAAGACTCCAGACGCCCCCGATTCTTGGCCATTTCGACCAGTTTGCTGAAACCAAGATCCACACCGGACTGGGTGCGGTACTAGTCCAAGTGCAGGACGGTGCAGAGCGAGTTATCGCATACGCAAGTCGGACGCTGTCTAACGCGGAGACGAACTATTCAACGACTGGAAAGGAGTGCCTTGCTGTCGTCTGGGCAATAACAAAGTTTGGCCCATATTTGTATGGAAGTCCTTTTCGCGTGGTCACAGACCACCACTCGCTCTGCTGGCTGGCGAATCTGAAAGACCCCCCCGGACGCCTCGCTCGGTGGAGCCTACGACTGCAGGAGTTCGACATGACCGTGGTGTACAAGTCCGGCCGGAAGCACAATGATGCCGACTGCCTGTCGTGGGCCCCAGTCGAGGCCGGTCCTTCCTGCACCAAAGAGGACGACGATGAGTGTTTCCTCGGCGCTCTGGATGTCAGCGACATGGCAGCACTCCAGCCAGACGACCCTGAGCTGCGAGCACTCATCGAGCGCCTAGAGGGACAAGGAAGCGCCGTTCCGTGCGGTTTTGTACGAACACTGCCAACCTTCTCCATCCGACAAGGTGTGCTCTACAAGGAGAACTTTAGCGACAACAGCACGGCGTGGCTGTTGGTGGTCCCTTCCAGTCTTCAAGAAGAAATTTTTCAAGCCTGCCACGATGACCCGACGGCGGGACACCTTGGTTACAGCAGGACCCTTGCCAGGATACGCGAAAAGTACTACTGGCCCAAGCTTGCGAAGACTGTGCACCACTACACCCGATCTTGCCACCAGTGTCAACGACGGAAGAAGCCACCGACGAGACCGGCAGGACTTCTTCAGCCTATTGCGCCGCCATCTGCCCCATTCCAGCAAATCGGTATGGATTTACTCGGACCTTTCCCACCGTCGACGCAAGGAAATCGATGGATCATCGTCGCAACCGATTATCTCACGCGGTACGCCGAGACCAAAGCCCTTCCATCAGGAACGGCTGTTGAAGCCGCGAAGTTTTTCATCGAGTCCATCGTCCTCCGGCACGGCGCTCCCGAAGTACTGATCTCAGACCGTGGATCATCATTCATGGCCCAGCTGACGCAGGAAGTCCTTCGTCTCAGCCACACCAGCCATCGTCGCACCACGGCATACCACCCGCAGACCAACGGGCTAACGGAGAGACTCAACAAGACCATCGCCGACATGATCTCCATGTACGTCGATGTGGAGCACAAGACATGGGACGACGTGTTGCCGTACGTCACATTTGCCTATAACACGGCCGTACAAGAGACCACCGGAGTGACACCCTTTCAACTGGTGTATGGGCGCAAGGTAACGACAATGCTGGACGCTATGTTACCCCAAGAAACGGCAGTCGACGCAAGCGACGACGCCCAGGTGGTTGCCCAAAGGGCAGAAGAAGTCCGACAGCTCGCCAGACTCCGGATTAAGGCTCAACAACGTGTCGACACTGGCCGCTACAACCTTCGTCGTCGGGACGTCCACATCCAGCCCGGAGAGAGGGTGTGGGTATGGACACCGATCCGCCGCCGTGGTCTCAGCGAGAAACTCCTGAAGCGCTACTTTGGACCCTACAAAGTGCTTCGTCGACTCGGGGATCTGAACTACGAGGTGATGCCCGACGGAACACGGACTTCCTCACGCCGCCCTCCACGACCGGAAGTCGTCCACGTCGTGCGACTGAAGCCGTACTACGCTCGATAGGACTGTGGACCTTATGTGTTCCAAATGACTCTTTAGTTTACCGTCCTTTTTATTTCGCTTTGTTTTGTTTTTGGGTTGCATCGGGACGATGCACTTTTTTAAAGGGGGAGTAATGCCGCGCGCGCAGCTGGCCGAGTAGGCAGCGCGCGCGTGGCCTAACAGTTATCGCGCTTGCTTCCCAAGCTGAAAGCCAGGGTTCGATTCCTGGCCGCGGAGGCCCATTTGTTGTTGACTCTGTAAAGTAATGTTCTGGTAAATTCGAGAACCGTGTTGCTTGTTCGAGGTCGGAATGTTCTACACGCCGAACCTTCCACGCTGATTATTCCAGAAGCCCACACGTGTACATAAGGGGCTCCGAGTGGCGATCTGCAGTCAGTCTCGCCCCAGCGCTCGATCCTGCGGTTTCGCCGACTTCGACGTCCGCGACGCTTTGTTATTATCTTTTGTACTCTTTTATTTTTGGCACAAGTTCGCCACATTAAACGTTTATTTCTTCCTGTTCATCTATTGTTTTTGGTCACCACCCGTGACAATATGTACGAAGGCAGAAGAAGGCATGATCACAAACAACCACAAATGCACGTAATAAAGGCGCAAACCACTGAACCTTCCCTGCTAATGATTGGTTTAGTAATAATAAAGCACGTACAAAAACACGGCGAACACCACGTTTTTGCGTTTTTGACGCTGTTTTGTTGGTCGCGTCCACTGATAGCTTTAAAGACGTCATAACTTAAAAGATGAAACAAAGTCCCTTGCCTCCATCTTACAAAGGAGGCTATTGGTATGCATAAGCACAAAGCCAGCCAATGATTAGAGTAATATACCAGGCATGCAGAATACGATATCTCGTGGGAAAGTGACCGGTCGAATTCATATGAGAATGTACAAAGCGCGGAAAGTGATCTTCGTGCCTAAGTGTATCCTGGTTATCGCAACTGGCTGGGCTCATGCTCTGTGGAGCTGCCCTTGACTTGTTCGCGGGAAGGCATCTACGGTGCAGTCACAGTATACGCGTCTATTAGATCCGTCATTTTGGTTTATGAATTTGGCCAAAGGCTTGGAACCTTTTCTATTAGGGCGACCTGCCCTTCTGACCGAGAAACTAATTGAAGTGTATCTAAAGACACACGTCAATATAGAGTACTTCATACATGGTTCATTCTTTATGTACAAGATAGAATCAACTGCCCTTTAAATTTCATACATTTATAGCCTTCCGGTAGACTTTAGCTGAACAGTTGCAAGTCTTTAAAGCAATCAATCAGTCTGCAAACATCAGTCGTACGTAATGTGTAGTGAAACATTGACATTTCTTTTTAATGCAAGCGTGCCTACTTTAATACAGAACTTATGGGTGACAGTGGCTGTGTGTATGAAGAAATGTTTGTCAAATTTAATTCCACTAAAAAATGTTAAAACTCAAAATAATGTATGGTCTTGCGGTTATTGAGTAGTAGAGCAGACACTAAGGTATCATAAAATTTTTGACTACATAAAAAAAAAACGTTTTGCAACAATACAAAATTCCAAATCATTATTCACCGAACACATATTATTCACTGGGTGAAGAAATGGGGGTGTGGCATTTTTGTGCGTAGAACTACTCCTGACAAATTTCTCTTTTGCCCTACCAGCATCCAACGGATGGGCAATTGCGCTACCGGTGATTCTTATCTTGGTCGCCGCCGGTGCAGGTGGATTTCTCTTCTACAGAAGGAGGAAAGCTTTGTAAGTTTATTTACACTATATATAGAATTATTCAAACCCGTGGATAAAAAAAAAAAAAAAAGTGCAGAGCTGCTCTTTTTTTTTTCTTGCGCCATCTTTTGGTAATTATCTCAAGAGGGACGGCACACTTCAGCACGAACCAATAGACCCTTTCCGAAATTCAGTCTGGCCAATTCGATAACTATCATCATCGAAGTGTATATTGTATGTACATGCTAGTTCCGGCTTCTTATGACTGGTGAAGGAAGAATTTGAAGACAGGCGCCGATGCGGAGGCTCAACATTCGACACCTTATTTCGCTCTATTGTTGTTCAGTGCCACTATGCCGAGACTTATAAGCTTCTATGCGCCACGTATTTGAAAGCGTAATGTAACTTCCTGGAATGCTCAGCTTTGGCTCTGGTGAATTTTATTAGGAGTTCACTTAACTAAGCGACTCGTAGAGAGTGGTAGTTTCTTAACACCGTCAAAACTGAAACAAATAGAGAGCACACTGCACGGTGAAGAACACCGTAACTTCCGTGCATCGGCCGTTGACGAATAGGTGCTAGATTTTAACCGGCATTAGCATACACAATTTTGACTGATATTTGAGCCACTAGATGGCACTGAACTTTTGAAAAGATCTATTTCACTGCAAGGGCTACCCTCAATATGCTTGTATTTTGTATCCTGAGTGACATCCCGACTGAAAATAGGCAGCAGATTCTCAGCATACATAACACGCATTAGCGTTCATTCTGCGGCGCTCTAGCGGACTGAATCGCTGCACGCTATATTAATTACACAAACTTTTGTGCTGTAACGAGACCTATTAATTTTGTTCAGACAACTAATGTAGTCAGACATTGCTAGGTAGACGTAGAATCAACAATTCCAACGCAAAAAAAAAGAGTACAGGGACTCTCACCGACGCAGTCAACATCAAATTCCGAGGGCTTGTCGCCGGGGGACGCCGCAAGTCTTGCTCACACCCCATGGCGCACACCCTCCGCCGGTGGCTTCCCGCTAGGGCCGCTCCGGTTGGTTTGTTAACATGAGTTGGTGTATAGGTTGCTCCCTCTTCCGTCGTCACAGGTTTTGACACAGTGACCAAACAAAAATATGCCTATCTAAATCGGAGCTTATAGAAATAATTTTCTGATGAAATCTATAATAGTTAGTTTGATTATGTAGCAGCGTAATTGATGGTACATACATTTGCGCGGAAAGGGAAGAAATACGATCCCTATTTTTAGGCCACAGAGACCCTTCAATGACATTTTTCAGTTGCTTTTAATTTTCTTTAAACGTAAAACTAGTCAGCTTAAATATTTCTCTAACATTTGGGATATTTATGTTCCCTTGCAGGACTGTGTATCATGCAATTGATATTTAACTTTAAATTGCGATACTTTTCGAGCCACTTACTTATTAATAGTTTAATAGTTTTAATGGAGTTTTATAAAACTTGATTGTGGCGAAGTTTATTTTTTCTTAATTGAGTCGTGCAATAATTATTCCTATTTACTACCATCTACGCTTCATGTAAAATAATGGGCGGCTCATTTTTGTGTCCTCAGGAACACACCGGTCTTCCTGAACAACCCTACGTACAACGCAAGCACAGCTGAAACAAGTAAGCCCAAATACTGTTTCATAATATTGACCCCATGTGCAACCAGATGATGCATAGCATAGGGCGGATTAAGAATAACACAAATGATAAGCATCCAACAATTATACAGTAAAATTAAAAGAAGTAACGAAACAAAGGCAGTGTGACACATGATTGTACTCGGTTAAGATATAATGAGTAGAGTGATAACGTAAGGGACGAAACATGGTAACTGAACGCAAGAAAAACAAAGAAACTGTTTTTCCAGCTCGCGCTACAACGATGCAGTGAAATGCAAGCCACGTCTAGCACTTAAACGATTGTTTGCATTGGTCTTTGAATGAAATGGCATAACAATTGGTGAATGTATAATCAGGTACATTGTTCCAGTCATTGACACAAAGTGATAAAGAAGAAAAAAGAAAAGTGTTAGTGTTGTATTGAAATAGCTTAATTTCACTTAAGTGGCCTAAACTCGGTGATGTGAATCCGGAAGAAGATCCAAGCGACAGAAGACTAAGAAAATTTAACTGGAAATAAGAAATACTTGAAAAGCAAATGAACGGCATCTGAGCCCAATGATTGTTGGCGGATTTTGGACTACATGTCGATGTGACAACCAAATGCATTTACTTTGCAGGAATTCTAGATTAGCGGCCGTTGCCTTATCAAGATGAAACCCTCGGTGGAACCCTTGGCAATGAAGCGCCATTTGATGTTATCGAATCGCGGTGTCGCCTTCATCCCAACTCTAACGCATCATGCTCATATTTATGTGAATAAACTGCGTGTTTATATACGGTTTTATAATAATATTATTATTGCTTTATATTTCCCTCGAAAACACGTGAAATCAAGTGTTATATGATGTTTTAGTTGTTAATTGCGTGAGAGAAGACATGATGATGGTGTCAATAAAGCAAATAAACTCTTGGCAGATCCTTCCTTAAAACAGTTTGTTTTCAGCTCCTCTGGGTGGTCGTGCAAGTTTATTGGAGTCTCCATTTCCTTAGTTGTTTTCAGTGTTATCTACCGGCAAACAATGACGGTTGGGGGGTGGAAGGAGTTTTGACAGTTCGTTTTTATGCTGGAGGCCTAAAATGTTCTGCATCTTCACTTGTCAAACCTAAATAAGTAGTTACGCGGTCAGTAAGGATCCTGGTTTCTTACTCTCGGCAAAACAGTTGTTTTGAGTGAGATTAACGTTCGCGGCAATATTGTGACATTGCCGTGGCATTATCCAGATATTGTACGTGAATGATAGAGTGCGTCCTTGAGGTCTGTCACATGAGATGGCCCAAATCACGTGTGCAAACCAATTAAAAAAACAACGAAAGCTATCGATATCTACGCTTCGGGAAGGGTTACAGAAAGATCAAAGCGACGGAAGACAAGGCAGGAACCTAGACTGGAAAGTGTAACGTTTTAAAAAGAACATGAATTCTGCGATGGAGCTCTGAACTACAAAGAAATATTGCTCAAAAATTCAAAATGAAGTTAATTAAGCGTACGTCGAAGGGAATAGTAACATTCCTGCTAAAAGAAAGACAAAAAATGGTCATCATCCTGTGCATGGAAGCTGGTTGAGTAAAAAAAGAGGAGCTGCCTTTTAAGACTTCATTTGTTCATTATAAGGTTCCTAGTGTAATTATGGCAGTAAATTGTAAAATAGTCATCCTTACCCTGTGTTTGAAATTTTACTGGGATTAGAGGACTTTTGGGTTTCTATTGTGGGCTTTGTATCTTTTTAAATGTGCAACACTGGCTCTAGGTGCTTAGAGGCGTCATCTCTCACTGCCTGATCATAGCTAGAAAATGCTCAAGAAATACGAATTCGCTTGAAAGGGCGAACAAAAAATCACATGCTTACTTTCAAGTTTTTAGGATAGCGTGAGCTACCGTCCGTTAAGGAGTGCAGATCGGCTAGCATCCATCCGTCTATGATGAGCATTTCTGAGCTCAGAAAACATGGTGCACATAATGTGGTTTCTGACGTTCAAGTTTATTTTGGTTCCGACGGGTCGGCGATACCGGCTTTACACGAAGCATCAAGATAAGTTCAAATATTTTTTAACAAACCAAAGAGGAGCGAGCGCGGCTGCTCTTGATACCCAACGTTAAGTTTCTACTTCATGATCGAATACAAATCAGAAGAACGCGTGACTGTTCTTACAGTGAATCCCGTGGTACTTAAGAGAGTGGATGATATTACCGCGTATGATGACGTCACATGATAACCCAGCTTCATGTAACTATAGCATGCATATTGAAGTAACTTGTAGTGGCTAGGAGATAACCCAATTTTCTCGGAATATCGGGATCTTTTGAGGATTACGCTATCACTGAATAATCTCACCACTGGAAAGACGAAGTGTTTCTGGTAGCACTAGTATGTAGCCAATATAACTATTAGGCTCTTGCATTTATGCCCCTGGTACTCAATCTTCCGCCCTCGCGCTTAGACCCCTAGGATTAAAAGCTAATCCTTTAATTTTGGTACCGAGGAGCTGAATATTAAACCATTGCCGTTTGTACTCTTCGACTAAAAGTTGTACTCCAGAAATTACGCACAACCGAAGAAACACGCATCTAGCAGGTCTACTGGTTGCCAAATGCACTGCAATCTAAGAAAGAAAATGTTGCAGTTCAACTGAAACGCAGCTGTACTGCCCCGCAGGTAAATACGACATTTTGAGGATGACCGAAGTCAAATTTCCTGTCTGGCACAGTCCACGCTAAGGCCGAATTCCGAAGGGTGCACTTGCGCCGACGTTGACTGAGACACTGTGTCTCTCAAAGCCGGTTGTGATCTAAGCAGCGTTTATTGGGGCACCGGCAGCAGCTTGTCTGTTTGTGTTCGATTGAATAATTAGTAGTGCTGGCAGTGTGAAATGCCTAATCGCACGACAAAAGTATAAGAGATAGCACAGTCAGAATAAAATAAGAAGCAGGCTGTATTAGTGCTACGACGGTTCACTTTGAACATGCGACCTATTGGCAGCGGACCCTCGCAACATTGGAGTTTTAATAGACTCTACGCTGCGTATTGGGTTTTTTCCCTTTTTCTGGCTTATTTCCCTCAATGTTTCCAATTTTCTTGTGCATTTTTTCACTTTTGTATTATTTCGCATCTCTTTTGTCACGGGCCGACGTTGAAGGCGTGTTGAGTTCGTCTTTGTTGTTGATCTCGAAATATTATGTAAAACAGCGACGACGGCATGAAGGCGTCTAGATACTTGCCCTGAATCTGCGTTCTGAATGTGCCGTGCATCATAATGTGTCGTAGAAGATTTTGAGTTCGACATAAGACTATACCCAGAAAGGTTAGTCACGGGGAGACGCAGAGAGTAGTCTCACGTTGTACTGAGTAACTCAGTTTTAGCGATTGAGGTGTCCATTTTCTGTGACTGTGTTTCACAAGTCAGGTGCTAAAAGCGCTTCTTCTAGAGACTGTTGAAGGAGGTTAAATTGAAAGAGGTGTTAGTATTCAGTGGTATTCCTTTTTAATAAATGGTCATAAGTTTGCACGGGAGAAAATTACGTTATATGGCTTGTAAATTATCAACGCCTTATTATGGACAATATAGTTGGGCTAATGCAAGTAAACCATATCGTTAACTCGCATTCACACAACGAACGAAGGTCAATGCACCATGTAATGTCTGAACAATTCGTGCGCATGAAACAAATTTTGCCAAATTTGTCCGAGTTTGGTTGACACATCCACCAGTTCTGGGCTGAGTTGCGCCGATCCCCAAGACTACCGAAGTACCAGCTGTCTTCCTGGCGAGAATTACGTTTGCCTTCGGGGACTAAAACACTCAGATTGACCCTTTCTGAGGAAAACTAATGGCTGCATTAACATCGCTTGGCGGACTAGTTGGTTGTATATATTGAGATATCGCAGCGCAAAATGACGAGGAAGGAAATACTAGGGAGACAGGAATGGCTACTTTTGCTTGAGCGCGCCTCTCGGCTAGTCCCAGCCTAGAGAACTTAATCCCAATCTTTCGAGCGCGGTACCTAGGCTCAAACCAGATTATTTTTATCTTTATTTTTTTTAGGGGGGGGGGGGGGAGCAAGTGAGAGTTCAGAGGATCAATTGCTGCAGTTAATCCTTTGAGACCACTCTTGTTTTAGGGTAGTTTGTGAATTTTTTTTTCCAAATATTATGGCAGCACAACTTTTTTTTTATCCGTTGCGGGGTTCTCAAGACGTCAATCGGCGACAAACACTAGGTCCCGTGTTGCTTCGCGAGAAGTTGCACCTGATTAAAAGGGAGAAACTGTTGTGTTTCTTCGATCTTCCCAAAGTGAACACCTCTTCGGAATAACCAGGCTCTACTCTTCCCAAAACCAGCCTTAAAGTCTTCCAATTCTCTTTACCGGGCTGATGCTTTACCACCTAGAAAACCAAGCATTCCTCAGCCCCCCCCCCCCCCCCACACACACACACACGCACACGCACAGGCACACACTTCCCAGACACGTCATTTCGTGTGAATCCACGTCGCGCCCACTAGGTGACGTAGGCATCGCCATCATCGAGTTGTACAGCGTCTCACAACGGACGCCATGCTGGCACGCGGCGACACCGACACTAAAGCGTCGGCCGATTTACGGCGTTTTTCGATGAGCCTCCGCGTGTTTGAGCCTTGGGGCGGTTCGGTGGTCCACTAATGGATGAAGTCACGCAAAGGCCAACCTAACCCGCTGGCCTTGACTTAAACGGATATTGGGTAACGTCACATGTTAACTTGCAAATCGAGTAGGCAAAATTTAAAGAACACAGTACTTTCACTTTGCTAGCGCATAAACTGATTTACAAAAAAAGGCAGGGATAAGTTAGGTGAATCATTTTAATTAGAACAGGTTTATTAAAAAAATCCGTGAAAGTTACACTAACCCGGTGTGCATGGCAGTTATGCGGCCAGGGTGACATAAGTTATGGGCCAAAAATTTAACAATGAATCGAACACTGAACAAGAAATTGTGATATCAGTTTTTAATTAAGTGAACATATACATATCGTGACAGTTAGAAAGTTCCTTAGCGTCATCAACATCACCTCAAGAGTCAAATATGGAAAGCCTAGAGGCCTATTCAGACACAGGGCAGCGCCTAATCGACGTGAAATAGGCGCGGATATGTCGCAGAAGCTGTGCCGAGCAGCGATGCAGCGGTGCAATGTCGCCGCTCACCAACCAGCACGTGAAAAAAACAATCAGCAACAGTTTGCGCGTTTGCCTTGATGAAGGAGAAGCGGCGAGCGCGCCTGGGAACAGCTCTCGAGTGCATGCATACCCCGCGTTCAATTATCCGACGAAGAGTGGCGTGAACGCAGGCGTCTGTCGTCCGGAAACTCAAAGTATCGCTAGACGTTTCTTATTACAGTCAGTTTCTCGTATCCAAGATAATTCCCTCAAGATTTTATATACATTCTTTTTTTATAATTTCCTGAATGACCCGCAATTATAATAAAACCGAACTGTAGGGGAAACTATATAAGAGAAAAAAAAGTTATTTTAATGATAATCCAGTTGCTAGACCATCGATTGCCTATTTCTCCTGGTTTCCGAGCCTCTTCCTGCATACGTTGCGTTCCCTCCATGCAATTCTTTTCTTTCGTGAACTTGGTTTTCACAACTTTTACAGACAGCTTTTAGGATCGAAACATCCGACGTCTTTTGAGACGTCGTTTGTTGCCCCTTTGGGATCGCTTACGACGCATGGGCAAAATAGCTGGCACGTGAAACAGAGCTGTCGGATACGCCTTCCAGGCACCATAGTTCGCACTTGTCCTGACAGGAGGGA